AGAGGGTGGGAAATTCGAATCCGGGGTTACTTTTAACTAATTATTAACTAAATCTTAAATATTAATTAATCAATAATTGATAATTGATATTTTTGATAAAACTTGACCGAAGATTAATCAAGAGTGTGGAGTTCGAATCTGAGGTCAGTTTCGATTACACATTAACTAATTAATAATTATTAATCGAATAATATATAATAATTAATATTTTTGATTAACCTTAACCAAAAGGTAATCAAAAATGGGGAGTTCGAATTTGAGGTTAGTTTTAAGCAATTATTAAGCATTTCATAAGTATTATTTATCTAATAATTAAAATTAATATTTTTAATGAAACTTGACCAAAGGGTAATCGGTGGTGGGGAGTTTGAATCTTAGGTTAGTTTTCAATAATTATTAGCTAATCAATAATTATTAATTAATTAATAATGAATAATTGACATTTTTAATAAAATTTGTCCAAAGAGTAATCGAGGGTGGGGAGGTTGAATCTTAGGTTAGTTTCAGCGAATTATCAACGAATTATTCATTCACTAATGATAATTATTAATATACTTCTATAAGTCTCGTCCATAGTTGGTGAGGGGTTACAAATCAAAATCTAAGGAGTGTTTTAATTGGTTAATACTTGATCGATATTCAATTGATTATTATTAGCAATGCTTTTTTCAAAAACTTTGCTAAAGGAAAGGGGGGCTACCTAATACGAATCCGCGATCGATTTTAATTAATAGCGTGTTATTGATGAATTATTAGTTCTTTGTGTTTTCAATAGAACTTGATCGAAGGTAATCGAGGGTGGGTAATCCAAATCTGGAATCTGGTATCTGGTTTGAATTATTAATAATAAACATTTTTTACGACATTTCAAACGGAAAATTTGTGATTAGTACTAAGATGAAAAGTCTCTTGGTTTTTTACTAAAAACTACTATTATTCGTAGTTTTTCTGGCGAAATGCACCAAAGAAGTTTTGAAAGAAAACATAAGGATGTAGAGAAGTTTGTATTAATAAGCTAGCAATGCTAAGGAGTAGTAAAATGCATTAATGTCACCATAGTTTATAGAAAAACTTCAGTTGAGAAAATTTTGAAAGATGAATTTCAATTTTGAGCTAGCTACCATTACTTTTGTTGATTAGTGAAAAATTTGAGAAGCGTCCATAAACGGCAGTTATACGAGAAAGAGCTGAGCGAGTCCACTGACGAGCGTTACTTGTTAGATGAATAGTTATCAAATAGCATAGAAAAATACAGCAAAAGACGTCGTATGTTTTTATAAAAAAAGAAAATTTTCTCGAGCTTTCTGTAAGCAGAAAAAATACCACTGCCACTACTTTTGGATATCCCTAAGTATATACTGGAATCCGATTCGATCTATCTTTCCTAGAATTCCTATTCTTTCAAAAAAGGTCCAATTTTTGTTGTATCTTTCCACAATAATTTATATTTTTCCAATACTTCACTGAAGAAAATGAAAAATTTGAGAAAACCTATAAAATTCCCTATTGACTTTAGATAAAAAAACAATTTATACGCATAATCATATGTTTTGAACAAGTTTTTGTATTATACCAATAACCGTTTTAAACAGTATTTTTCTTTTCACCTATTTAATAGACTAAAGGAGGAATTGTTTAACATTAAGTATAAAATACAAAATTTTTCAAGAAAAAAACATTCATGAAGTAGTCATGAACTAATTCCGAGCTTTTAGTGAAGTTTTACTTAAGAACCATTGCACGAGGACCACGACTGATTCTAATATAGGTTGCTCAACGACTTTTTCCGATTTTGATTTTGACTAAAGCAATAGATAGTAGTACTCAAGTTAAGTATATGGTAAAATTTTCAACGTTCAATATCTTTCCATTGCTGAGAAATAACGACTTCATATTTATCACTCACGGCAGCGATAGGAACCACTACACTGAAAAAAATATTCGTATAATAGTGAACCCATCAAAAGGGTATAACAGTCTCACATATACCCTTTAAGGGTTTATTCTGTGTAATAAACGCTTCCATAAACCTTTTCGACTGATAAATCCTCAAAGCATATTTCATACGTTGCAATTTTATAAATCCATTAGGGTTTATCACTGTTGATATACCTTTTTTAAAAGTTCATTTAATTCACAAACGCTTTTGAAGAGTACAATAATAAATTGAGTTTTAAAATGTATATCAACAGTGTTAAACCCTAATGGGTTTATAAAGTTGATTCGTATGAAATATGCTTTGAGGGTTTATCAGTCGAAAAGGTTTATGGAAGCGTTTATTACACAGAATAAACCCTTAAAGGGTATATGTGGGACTGTTATACCCTTTTGACGGCTTCATTATTATACGAATATTTTTTTCAGTGTATGAGCATTAATATACTCTTAAAAGGTATATTAACCTCATAAACCCTTTGAGTGAGGATTTATTAATGTACCCTTTTGAAGAAACCGTGGTATAAAAAAACCCTTTTTCGAAGGGTTTATGAAATTCATCAATTCCTTTGAAGGGTTTATTATTCTACGCCTATTTTTTACAGTGCACCCACATCCATACTATTACCTCTTAACGCTACTTGAGCTCTATGACTGACTAAATCATGGAATCTCGCTGTCCGACAGCTACTGAACCCGAGAATACCGAGCTCAGGAACTTAGGGCTTGATGCCTGCCTAGAAAGATCTGAAATTCGTACATATCTTGTCGAAATGTCTAATATTCACTCACTTTAAATTTTTTCCTGAAACTACAGTATTCGGAACGGAGCTATGATTTTAAATGAAGTGATAAACTAGTTAAGATTTCGATTGAATTCTCTTTCGAATCCTGAAAAATCTTGGAATTCCACGACCATACATTTTTCACGATTTCAAAGTTTCATCACGCTTCCTAATTCAAAATTAGTAGTAATCTGCTCGAAAACCTGACCAAATCTTGCTTCAAATCTTGCCAAGAGCCGTGAAAATCCATGACTACACGCTAACTTCAGGATTTTCTTGTTTTCAGGGAAAAAGATATCGAGTCTTTGATCGAAAGCTTACCGAACAGATGAAGAATCCAACCAGGAAACACATCAGATATTTTTCCTAAGATTTTTACCAAGATCTGTTTTTCATAAATATCAGAGGTGTTTACAAGGGGCGAGGGAACAGCGGACTTCTGTAATTCTTGTACGCCTTTGTACTTCTTCGCAAGTGTCAAAAATTCTGTTGTCAAAAAACAGAACATTTTTGTTCTGTTTTGGGAAAAAATCGAGAAAAAAAGCGCATACTTCTCTGTACTTCTGGATACTTCCCTGTATTTCTCAGTAATTTTCCGTACTTTTGCACTTTGGAAGTACAGAAGTCCGCAGTTTCTCCTTGGATATTTACAAGGGGGAAATGGCAGACTTGAAGTAGAAAAGTACAACAAAGTACTTCACTTGAAGTAAGCTGAAAGTAGTCTGAAGTAGCTTCAAGTAGCTTAAAGTAGCCCGAAGTAGCTCAAAGTTACTTTAAGTCCGAAAAGTCTGCCATTTCCCCCTTGAGTATTTAGCAGAAAATTATTGAAAACAACTCCAGTAGCGAATTTCGAAAATCTGATTGCGGATTTTGATTCTTCAACCTCGATTTGCTTTTGCTAACCTTCATGCAATATCATTAATTTTCTCCAAAAACCCTTTCCTGAGTCGAAAAAATCCAATTCAGAATTTTTAGAATCCTACTTCAGATTCGAATTTCTTGAGCTCGATTTACCTTTAGCAGAAATTTCCTAGTCAAATCTGTATGCTAGTGAAACTGTGTTAGATTAAAGGAAAGATTTGAATTGAGCAAAAACTTAGTATCGATTGAAACCCCAGAACGGCGGCACTCCGGGAATGGTCGAACCCGGAAACGACTGAATCCAGGCAATGGCGGAATCTCAGGAACGATCGTACCCTGGAATATCGAAACCGGCAATCCTGATCTGTTGTCGGGTTCGGTGCATGCCTAGCTCAAGAGATTTTCAATGTTTTCCTGCTAGAGCCTCCCCTACTTTTCGAGTTTGGTCGCTACTAAGTAAGATTCTCTTTAGAATCAATGACTGTTACAGCAAAGCAAACCATAAATACCTCATAGATATGATCATGACCGCGACCATGACTGACTTCAAAAAACTTCATTGATTGTGACTAAAAACGCAGTCGTCCCATAGGTCTGTACTACCGGTGATCAAGATAGTTTGCCATACATTATGTACTTTTGAGTACTTTAAAGTACTATAAAACCAACAGTATGATGTTTCCTCATTGGTTAAGTTACGGTAGGTATATGACTTTTGATATAAGTGAAAGGATTTTTTTCCTATATTTAATAATATACACCTTTCAGAGGGGAGAGTACCGAAACAAAATCACACAAGTGTTTGCCGGCGATTTGTTGGCTCTTGTAGAAGATACAACCTTAGTATTTCAGGCACTCTCAATCCCTCACAATGGAAGGATTTGTATTTATAAGAGAATTGGCTGATCCGATTGCTGTCAAAAAATCACTTTCACCGAGAAATTAACGAATTTAAAATATGGGCAGCGTATAGCGAGTGAAGACCAATATATTCGAATTTTAAAGTGTTTACAGAGTATATAATGTGCCCACAACACAAAATTTCAACAGAATTGTTTTCTCTTTCTTTGCTATGATTGGGTAGAGCTCATCGAGTTGTACAAGAAGAACTATGTTTTGGCCCTTCAATTTTCAAAAAAGATTCCGAAAAGCATAAGATAAAAAAGCTGAAGATAGTATTATTTTCAAATATAAGAGAAAATAGAGCGAAAATTATGATATTCATGAAATATGTTTTCAAATTTTGAAACGTAGTTTTTCTTGTACAACTCGACGAGCTCTATTCAGCCATAACAAAAAAAGAGAAAACAGTTCTGTTGAAATTTTGAGTTGTGGGCACATTATATACTCTGTAAATACTTTAAAATTCGAATACCTCGATCTCCACTCGCTATACGCAGCTCATATTTTAAATTCGTTAATTTCTCGGTGAAAGTGCTCTTTTGACAACAACCGGATCAACCAATTCTCTTATCAATACAAACTCTTCCATTGTCAGCCAAGTTTTTAAGTTTTGAATGATGTAATTGAATGGAAGTTATAATATATCCTCAACAGTAGCATCATCACGTATCTAATCAGAATGGATATATTGAGGAAAATCTATCTCGTGCTATAAAATAGTTAGAAAAGTATTGACCATGCTCACCCAAATACCGCTGTCCTAGTCTTAAGTAGATTAAATGTTTCTTTGTTGCGTTGTCGTATCGCTTTCCTTGAACACTGAAACAAATGCCTGGAGTAATAAGTTCTTCTTCTTCATGAGAGTATTGTGACCACGGACTGATATTCGACACAAAGCCAAACACTATTTTCATGATGAACAATACGTTCCCGCCATAAAAGTCGGCTACATGAATATCTCGACTACAGGATGTAAACGCTTGAAATGAGCGGTGTTCATCAGGATGCTTAGCCATATATTCATAAGTAGCTAGCTGCTCGTCCGTCAGATTGGCTCCTCGAAAAAGTGTCGTGTTTTCTGTTATTTTTTTATTGAAGGGATCATCCCAGAGAAGCAGACAATAGGGTCCCAATGTAAAAACTTTACGTCGCCACACCTCGTCATGCTCTTTGTCTCCTATTAATCTCATAGTCTCATTCAACTTTATGAACAAAAAACTTCCTAAGGAGTAGAGATAGGCGCATCGTTTCCATACTTCTTTGAATCCGTTGTTTTTTTTTTTCTCTAAGAAGATTAGCCAATTTCTCGCCTTCGCATGGTTTTCCTATTTGCTTCCCTTCTTCAATGATGCCGAGTGCTGCTTTCTCAACAAGCATCGGGACAATGTCTTCGCTTTTGGAAGGTAATTCTTCTTTTTTAATACCCAAAATGTTTCTCACCGCCATTATGAAAGGCGAAACCCAGCCATACTCGCCACCAAAAGGACGTTTTGGGGCAATCGGATCGAACATAATGCGTTCTTTCCGCATATGCTTATCTTCCTCATTGCCTACTATTCTTTTTATGGATCTCAGCTTGTCGTCAGATTCATTGGAGATTTGAACCATACGCTCCAAATCAATATAGTAGCCGTCCAGCCGGGCTATTGATTGGTTGTTTGAGAAAGCTTCTTCGATAATTAGATTCTCCACATCCGAATAATAACTCGATTCATCTGGTTCAGATTCCGACCATGGATGCCGGTTTGATTGCCTAATCCACAAAACTCGCTGCAAGGACTTCGGAGCTGCAGTTGGTGTTTGGCCCATAATTATCAATCTTTTCGTCTTTTTCTTAGATGATACGAGCTCTATAGCGATTAGTCCTTTTATAATCTGAAAACATTTAACAGTAAGTATCTCAGAAAACCAGATATCGATGATAGTTCGACACTTCAAATAGTGCTAATATTTTAATATATTATAGCTGGTAGTGAGAGAGCGTGTGCGTGGATGATGGGTGCGGGGTGCGCGGTAGATATAGCTTTGGGTATGGGTCACGAGCTGAAAAGCGGTAGCTAAACCCACGGACACATTTACACGGACACTCATCCTCACCTGATTCCATCCACACCCACACCAACACTCCACACTAACACCGACAGCACGCGGACAC